TGTGTTTCACCTGTGTCCCCATGTGTTTCACCTGTGCCTCAATGTGTTTCACCAGTGTCTCAATGTGTTTCACCAGTGCCTCAATGTGTTTCATCTGTGCCTCAATGTGTTTCACCTGCGTTTCAATGTGTTTCACCAGTGCCTCAATGTGTTTCATCTGTGCCTCAATGTGTTTCACCTGCGTTTCAATGTGTTTCACCGGTGCCTCAATGTGTTTCATCTGTGCCTCAGTGTCTTTCACCTGTGTCTCAGTGTGTTTCACCAGCATTTCAATGTGTTTCACCTGTGTCCCATTGTGTTTCACCTGTGCCTCAATGTGTTTCACCTGTGCCTCAGTGTGTTTCAGCTGTGCCTCAATGTGTTTCACCTGTGCCTCAATGTGTTTCACCTGTGCCTCAATGTGTTTCACCTGTGCCTCAGTGTGTTTCAGCTGTGCCTCAGTGTGTTTCACCTGTGCCTCATTGTCTCCCTTTTCTCAGTTTGTTTAAGTCCCTGTCTTCCCCTTGTTACCGGATGGTCTTTACCCTTGAGTATAAGGTCTAGTGTTTCCCTTGTGTTCCCTCCGTGTGTGTGTGATCGTTTTTACTTGTGACCACCCTTGTGCCTGTTGATTTTAGATACTTTCACCAGTGTGACTGACCACCCATGTACCAACCTTTGCCTGATTAAAAACCCTGAACTTTCATCCGAGTCTGCTTAGTGAGTTTGTGCTTGATATCTAAGTATGGATGCGTCCATCCATCCATCCATGCATTAATCCATCCATCCAACATCCATTCATGCTGATTCCTCGCAGAGTTCTGACCATGTTTAATCCAAAGTGAAAACGTGCTTGTTCTGTTTCACGTCTCCTCTTTCATTTTCTTGTTACAGTGAGATAAACTATGCAGTATTTTTAATGTGTCATTTTCCAGTGACAGATCTCTTTAATTCTTCTTTTATCTGTCTCTTTATATCTTTTATTGAACTGATCAATGCTTAAAATTGGAAAATGGGGACTTTGCTGTGTGAAGTGAAACACTTTCAGCCGTTAGCTGCACTGTGGCCGCTAACATTGTCATACCGTCACGCATGAAATCAGATCACTAAAGCTTTTGGTGGCATAATCACGAGCCTACTTTAAACCTCAACAGCTTCTTTGCAGTGATTAGCGGACAAGTGTCTCGCATTAATAGTAGGTGACGAGTGAGAGGAGCTTTTGTCATTGACTACTAATTGGTGTTTTGGCAGCCTTTCAGTCACAGATCTGCTGCTCTCAGCTCACAGCCTATCACAGCTCCCGCTCTGATGTTTCATCTCTCCTCTCTTCTCCACAGGTATGATTTGGACTGCAAGAGCGACAACCTCTCTAAACACGTGAGTGTCTCCTTCACCTCAGCTGTTCAACAATCAGTCGTGCATTCATGGAGATATTATACAGCCAAATGTTTATCCTTCCAGTACAATAGCAGCCTGATATGAATCAGAATGTCACAGGTAAGAGTGGCGTCACAGGAACAATCCTGTAGCAACACCATTGTAAGACATGAAACTATATGAAACCTAAAGGCTCAGAGTCACATGCAGTTCCTTAACAGTTACTATAACTACAGATGTGGAGGTGTTTTACTGAAAGAAAATCTGTCAGAGTAAAAGAAGAGCTGACAACACAATTAGAAACTCACAGAAATAAGAAGCAGCTGCACAAATTAGCATCACTTCTAATTATGTTTTGTGACTTTGTTTTACACTGTCTTAAATATCTTCAGGTACTTTTCAGCAGTTTGACTATTTTTCTAACTTATTCTGACTCGTACATATTATTCACCGATCAGCCAAAACATTAAAACCGTGACAGGTGAAGTGAATAACATTGATGATCTTGTTGCAGTGCAGTGTTCCATTGGGAAACTTTGGGTCCTGGCATTCATGTAAATGCTACCTGATGCACTCCACTCACCTGAACACTGTTGCAGACCAAGTAAACCCCCTTATGGCAATGGCACTTGTTGAGGTCTCCGTCATGTTCCTTGGGCCACTCAAGAGCAGTTTTTGTGGTGTGCCAGGTGGCATCTACATGAATGTCAGAACCCAAGATTTCCCAACAGATGCATTGTAACAAGATGATCAATGTTGTTCACTTCACCTGTCAGTGGGTGCAGTGTTTTGGCTGATCGGTGTATATAATAATAGCTGTTGATGAAAATGTCACAGCTAATGATTTAATAGCTGAACAAGACCTCAGGAGACTCTGATGGATTACACACATTTAATGAAGACTCAATCGAGGAGAATCACAGTTGAACATAAAGGATGTGAAGATGCTGTCAGACCTAGAGTCATCTCCTTTGGTCTGAATCAGGGACTCATGTTCGTGTGGCAGCATTTACAAGTGGACCAGATCAAATGCCAGCGTCAGAAAGCTGCTCTTGATTGGTCAGAATTTCCATGTGGGAAAAATCCAGGAAGTAAAGCAAACGTTGAAGAAGAGTACACTTGCAAGATAAATGTGACACTTTCTAATGTCACAATGGAGGGACAACTACGCAGGTTGATTTTAGCGCTGCTCATCGTGAACTATATTGCTGTCATTGTTCATTTTAGTCAAGCCATGCAGTTTGAAAACGAGATGCAGCTCCAACTAGAAAACAATGTTTTGATGCATTGGATGTGCTGAATGTGCATATTAAGGCAGTACAGGAGGAGGTGCACATTAATAATCCTCTAGGACTGTAACATGCTCATGTTTAACCCAAACAATGTGAGCCAGGGCAGACTAGACAAAGAAAAGACCAAACCAAACAAAACCAAACAATGTAAACGGTCAAACACCAAGAACAGCTAATGGATCACTGATGCTCTGCAGAGACACAAATGGATAATATTTAAAAACACTTTATTACAAAATATTGCAAAATGCATACGGAAAAAAACAACACTGCTAAAATTTAAAGTACCTTGTACGTCAACCTCCTCCTCCTCCTCCTCCTCCTCCCTATGTTAAAGGTGTCACTACCTGGTGCACCTCCTCTTTTCCTCCGTGCCGCCTGCCACACATAGTTAAGTTTAAAATAATCATCATAAAGTTATCAACATGCAAAACTGGTGTGTCACCATTAGATTTGAGATCAGACCAAATATGTCGGCTGGAAAATCTGTGTTTTCACAAAGGATGTGAAGGTGGAGAGAGTCAGTGTGACAAATGTCTTGTGGTTCCACAGGCAGGGGCATTAATAATATAGTACAGAACAGGATACAGTAGTAAAGGATGGTATACCGTTGTACAGTTGTGTAGTTTTGTATTGGCAGCCGTTGTATTTACCGAAGGACAATAACAAACACTCTACTGACAAATATATATTCTATGAAAACAGATTTTAAAAGAAAAGAAGTACAAAACCCTGCAGCACAGTCTCCGTTACATTTCATCATCACACAGGCCTGTGTTTTGTCACATTTGGGGATCTTTTATAATTTCCCTTTGCAGAACTTTCACAGTAGTAATTATGTTTTATGTCTTCAGGGTCTAATGAACTCGATTCATCTTGACCGGACGTTTATTTGTGTTTATTTTGGTGAACTCTGAGGGCGTATGTCACTTTCTCCATTATATGTATTTGATGAATATCCCTGTTTAGTCATCAATCTCAGGAGCCTCAGGTTTTAGACATCCACAGGTTATGGCTTTTTTTCTCCAAATCTCCTGCCAAATGTTTAGGAGCAAATTAATAAATGGATTTGCTCTTTCCAAGAGATGTTTTGTGCTTTCGGAAACAGTGGCTCGTTGGATGATTTCCTGTCAGTTTACTCATCAGCTGATCCATTAATCATCAGCAGCGCCAATGTACGGATAAGATGCTTTATGAATTAAACAAAGAGATGATATTGGAATAAAAACATTTTGTAGTTAAAGGCTTTCAGCACTGACTTCAGGAGGAATTGATAGCTCATCAAAATGTAAATAAAGGATGAGAGTCAGGTGTCAGCTGTCAGGCTTTAATGAAACAATGAATGAATGACCAATAACTGATATTTGGAACCAATATATTTGTGTCTGAAATCAGAATAACAAAAATACAAAACTTCAACACATAACTTTGTGTAAACGCGTTTAAGCATCCTGTGTTTAATAAAATGGTTAAAAGAGAATGTTATCATCATTATCTCTATAAAAAAGATTATGGCTCCTTCACCTGTGCATTATTATAGTCGGCCATCTCTGGTGTTGGGATGTGAAATGGCGTCCAGAAAAAATAGCTGGCGTCTGGAGAAAAGCGCTGTTCAGGGGTTTTTCAGGGCACTTCACCTTTTTTCTGCAGCTGCTTTGAGCGCATTCAGTTGATCTCTGAACTTTTCAGAAAGGTACCGGTGATGTCACTGCAGCTTCTTTAGCTAGGCTACTGCTAGCTGTCACAGCAAAGACAGAACAGCTCACTTTTCGGGAGCAGATCGGCCGCAGGACTCTGGATGTTACGGTTGAGTGTTGTGCTTCTATCAGCGTTAGCTTTGTGAGCTTGAAGTTAACTGTGTCAGCTCTCTGTCAATATAGTGTTATGTTAGCTGCTTGGTTTCATAGAAACAAAACCCATGCGCAGCACATCATTAAAAAAAGCCCTCATTAAAAAAGCCCCCTGGAATGAAGCTCTTCCCAACACCCAAAAAAATGTGCATACAGACCCTTAAACCTCCAAATAGCTTGTCAGCAGTGGGGTCACTGTGCCACTGTGCTGTGTCAGAGTACTGCATTTATATGCCTTCGTGCCAATGCTAGCTATGGCGGGAGGCATTGTGTTTTGGGTTGTCCATCCATACGTCTATAAGTCTGTCTGTCCCATTCCCGTGCACGTGATATCTCAATATATATTCTCTTCAAATTTGGCACAAACATCTTATTGGGTTCAACGATGCACTGATAAGATATTTGTCTCATTCTTGTGAACATGATAGCTCAAGAAGGCCTGTAGGGAGTGCCTTCAAATTTGGCACAAATGTCCACTTGGACTGAAGAACAAACTGATGAAGAATTTTGTGGTCAAAGGTCAGTGTGACCTCACAAAACGTGTTTTTGTCTATAACTGAAGAATTCATAAACTAATTATGACAAAACTTGACACAGATGTCTAACAGGATAAAATAGTGAAGGTCAAAAGGTCAAAGGTCAGCTTGACTGTGACATCATCATGTTTTAACGTCATATCTCAGGAACAGAAGGGGAGACATTTGGTCAGATACTGAATTGGTGACTCTAATCTTGAAACTGTGCTGATTGTGTAGATCTTCTGTGTGTGAAGCATCCATGTTTTCACTGACATGGATGGAGACTGTCAGAGACGCTGGACTGGTGGGCGGAGTCATACAACCACAGGGTGGGCTGGTGGGCAGAGCCATACAACCATGGGCCAGTGATTCTAGTTCAATTAGTTCTTTTATTGGCTATCAGATGAAAAAATAGTGATTCTGATAATAAAACTTTTCTGGATCAAGTTCTCCCTCTGTGTTTATTTAAAACTTCAAATTTCACTGCCCCTCATCTCCATCCTTCACGTTCAGATCAAACAGAAGCTCCAGCAGCACTGTGCTCCAGTTCTGTCTATAACCTGGTCTCCATCTCCGCCCCCAGCCCTCTTCCTGTTACCCAGCTTCATACTCATTGCCAACTGCAGGCAGTTCCTTTCCTCAGCCCCAACCCCAGCGTGCCCCCGGGGCTTCTTCTGAGAGCGCTGAGCAATGTGAGCACAGCGACTCACTCTCAGCATGAAGGCTGAGGACGCTTGGATGCGTCCTGTCGTCACTGTGGATGTGTGGGATTGGTGATCTGGCACGCAGTGATGGCTCCATTGTCCGGGCACGGTCCATCTCCAGTCGCTTTAAATAACAGAAAAAAAAACTGCACTCAATTACAGTATCTCTGTTGGCAGCTTCAGTGACAGCGTTGGAGGATGCCTCCTTCCTCCATCACAGCAGATGTTTTTCCTGTGCCATATGGTTTGCATACCTTGTGCTGATATGGCTGCAGGCGAAGATGTGCAGAGCCGGAGCGTACAGTAAAATCTAATTAAAGGCTGTGTGTGCTGTTTCCTCGCAGATGAAGCGAATGTTGCTTTTTCATTCTGACAGACGCGTGTCACGGCCCTGTGCACAATCCCTTATTTTACTCATGTTTGTTTTTAGTGATAAAATACACCAATATCCTTCTGACAAACAGTCTTCTCATTTCAGAGTCTTTATTCATTATTTCTACTCGATGATTAGAGAGTGGATCCAGGCAGGGAAATAGCTTCTTTGTTTGCAGGCAGTAATTAATTGTACTGGCTGGGTGTTGCCTCTGAAACATGTCAGGATTTTACTGTAACTTTTATTCCCCTTATTATCAATCA